GGCAAATATTTAACTTTGAGCATTTTCATCCTTTATTTCCATGATAAAATGGAGATACAAGAATGTGCTAATTCTGGGCGCCTGGGTGGCTCAGTAGGTTAAGCCTCTGCCTTCTGCTCAGGTCATGATCTCAGGGTCCTGGGATCGAGCCCTGCATCAGGCTCCCTGCTCAGCGGGGAGCCTGCTTCCCCTCCTCTCTCTCTGCCTGCCTCTCTGCCTACCTGTGATCTCTCTCTCTGTGTCAAATAAATAAATAAAATCTTTTTTAAAAAATGTGCTAATTCTGATTTGACTGTCAGAATTAAAACAGTAGAACAGATATCTACAAAATCCTATAATCTTCCTTTGCTGCAGAGTTAGTCACCAGCAACTCTGAACACAGGCTCCACTCTAACTTGCTTTGTGGCTTTGGACAAGTCCTTAACCTCTCTGAGACTCAGTTTCGTCATATGAAAATTGAATAATAATATATATTTATTATTAGGAGGATAATAAGAAACCCTTAATTGATAGGACTACAGGTAAAAACCAAATAAGATAAAGAATAGGGGTGTCTGGGTAGTTCATCGGTTAAGCATCTGCCTTCAGCTCAAGTCATAATCCCAGGGTCCTGGGATCAAGCCCCGCATTGGGCTCCCTCCCTACTCAGCACAGAGTCCGCTTATCCCTCTCCCACTGCCTGCCACTCCCCCTGATTGTGCTCTCTTTCTCTCTCTAGTGATTAAGTAAAATCTTAAAAAAATAAGATCAAGAATAGAAAACACAAGACATTGCCTCAGTAATGAATAATCTATAAATATAAGCAATTTTCTTTTTCAGCATAACAGTATTCCTTGTTTTTGCACCACACCCAGTGCTCCATGCAATCCGTGCCCTCTCTAATACCCACCACCTGGTTCCCCCAACCTCCCACCTCCCGCCGCTTCAAACCCCTCAGATTGTTTTTCAGAGTCCATAGTCTTTCATGGTTCACCTCCCCTTCCAATTTCCCCCAATTCCCTTCTCCTCTCTAACTCCCCTTGTCCTCCATGTTATTTGTTATGCTCCACAAATAAGTGAAACCATATGATAATTGACTCTCTCTGCTTGACTTATTTCACTCAGCATAATCTCTTCCAGTCCCGTCCATGTTGCTACAAAAGTTGGGTATTCATCCTTTCTGATGGAGGCATAATACTCCATAGTGTATATGGACCACATCTTCCTTATCCATTCATCCATTATTATTATTACACTCAGTCTTTTTTTTTTTTTTTTTTTTTTTGAGATTTAATTTATTTGTCAGAGAGAGAAAGGGAGACTACAAGCAGGGGGAGCATCAGGCAGAGGGAGAAGCAAGCTCCCTGATGAGCAGGGAGCCCAATGCTGGGCTCGATCCCAAGACCCCGGGTCCATGACTGGAGCTGAAGGCAGACCCTTAACCTACTGAGCCACCCAGGCACTCCTACACTCAGCCTTTTAAATGGGATAGAAATCACTGTTTATCATTCCATCTGTTTACAGGCTGATGACAGACTTCCTGGGACTTCACTCTATCATTATAAGAAAAAACACAATTGAGAACATAACAGGAGAACTCTCCCTATCCTTTTACCATATGCTGTTAATAATATACATTCCACAGGCTTTACTTAGCATATCTTTGGTAAAATGTAGTATTATACAGTATTATACAATGAGAGTTTTAGAATCAATAGATTTGAATCCCAACATCAACTGTCACTAGCCGTGTGAACTTAAGAAAGGTATTTAATGTCTCTGACTCTAACTGTAAAATGTCAATAATAATAGTACTTACCTCACAGAATTATTGTGGTGATTAAATAACATCATATCTATATAGTGGTAAGTATGGCAACTGAAACATTATAGCTATCAGTATTATTACTTCTCTTTTTAGAAAATGGCAAATGCCCTGAACCCCTCTAAAATGCTGTAGGGTTCTCATTTTTAAAATTGATGACCCTACAAAAAGATGTGCAGAAATACATGCTACAGGTAACAGGCAATTTGAATATAATAAAAATTCCACGCCACCATAAGAACTAAGTCTTGCTACAGAAGAGAAGACCTCTTAAAGCAGGTCTTGTATGTACACAGCTACCTAGTTATCTGGAGTCACTCAACAGAGACTGTGGAAATACACTCTGCTCACAATGTCTCACAATTTAAGTGGCATTATCCCATCAGACTCTCAGGTCTCAAAATCAATATGCAAGCTGTGTTGCAGCGCAGATAACTTTAACAAGCACTGCCAAACAATATATAGTATTTTTTTCTATAGTGTTTCACATGAGAGTATCAGTTTTCCCAGTGAATGCTAAGCTAGAAGGTACAGAAGTCTTTATTCTTTGGCAATAAGCCCACGACATTAGACTGACAACCATGAATATGATTCATTCATTCAATAAATATTCATTCAATGCTTACTGAGTCCAGGCACTGTACCATGCCCGAAGAATGTAAGTTTTTCACACAGTACATGGGCAAGGTCTCCCCTCAGAGATCTTAGCGCCTAGAGGAGGGGATAAACTAATAATTAACAATGCTATAATGGACACAGGATGCTACGGAAACACATGGTAGTACATCTAACCAAGGGGGCAGAGGCAGGAGAAGGGAAAGGGAGCCAGTGAAAAATGTCCTGGGGAAAGTAACATTTAAACAGTGGCTTAAATGCAGGCAAGACAGACTGAAGCATATTTAAGAAACTAAAAGTTTTTTACAGCTGAAACATTCAGACTGACATGACATGCTGAGTCATGATGTGATGTAGGAATCTGCACATATAATAAAAATCAATATCACTTTAAAACAATCAGTTCTATTTCTACACATCAGCAAGAAGGAGAACATAAAATTTAAACATTTATAATAGTATAATAAAACATCAAAAAATAGAAATAAATTCAATGAATTATGGGAAACATCCATGTACTAACAATTAGTTTACCTATTCATGTTTTGTAAAGATTTAATAAACAAAGGAATATACCATTTTCTTGGGTTGTAAGACTCAATATTGTAAAGATGTCCATTATCCCCAATTGTATTGATAAATATATTAAATGTAGTCCCAATCAAAATACTAGCCAGATTTCCTTTTCTGTGTAGAACCATATGAAAATGCAAAAGGATAGGAATAAGCCAGTTATTGGTCATGCTAATGGCCACAGACTCTATTTATATGAAATGTCCAGAACAGGCACAACCATAAAAACGAAAAAGTAAATTTCCATCCTGGCAAAGATGAAGAAAGGTGATCTTGAAAAGGAACAACTAAGGGGAAGAACTTTAACAGATATAAAGACCAATTATAACACGAGAGAAATTAGAACATTGAGATAATGGCAAAGGAACAAGCAAATGTATCCACGGAACAGAGGGCCTGCAACAGACAGGTAAGTACATGGCCACCAGTTTATGACAAAAGTGAGCCTGCAGTGCAAGGGAGAAAGGTTTCCAGTAAATGATAGTGGGTCAATTGAATATTTGTATGAAAAAATGAATCTTATTAACATCATACACAAAAAAACAAATCCTGACGAATTACAAATATAAATATAAAAAGTAAAATAGGAAAGCACTTCAAAAAATATAGAATAACACCTTTATGACATTAAAAGCAGCAAATATTTCCTAAATTGGACATAAAAAATCTTAACTATAAAAGGAAAGATTGATAAAATGGAACTTCTATTCATGTAAAGGTATCATTAAAGAAAGGGTGTGTGGGTGGTGCAGTCAGTTAAGGGCCTGCCTTCGGGTCAGGTTATGATCCTGGGCTCCTGGGATTGAGTCCCACATTGGGCTCCCAGCTCAGCAGGGAACCTGCTTCTCCCTCTGCCTCTCCCCCTGCTTGTGTTTTGTCTGTCTCTCTCAAATGAATAAATAAAAATCTTAAACAAAAACCAAACAGAATGAACTGGCAAACCACAGAATGGGAGAATACATTTTTAAATGTATATTTCAAACAAAGAAACCTATCTATAATATATAAAGAACTACTGACCCTCTCCCCCCCCAAAAAGATGGGAGGGGGCAGGTGAGAAGGTCCTGGCAGGAAGACTTCAACAGGTACTTCACAAGGAGTGTATCCCAGTCAGCAAGAAACATAAAATAGTGTTCAACTTCATTAGTTTTCAGGGACATCAAAATTAAAACTGCGAGGAGATACTACAACATACCCACTAGAAAGGCTAAAATACAAAAGACAGAAAGTTCCAAGTGCCACCAACGACACAGGACAAGAGAGCTGATACACTGCTGGGTGGAGAGGAGGTAAAATGGGCACAAGCACATTGGAAAACTTTTCAACATAATCTACTAAAGCTGAAGATATGCCTATCTTGTAACTATGTAATTCTGCTCCTAAGTTTATATCCAACAGAAATGCATAAAAAATCTTCATTAAGAAGCATGTATGAGAAAGCTCATGGAAGCATTAGCTAATACTTCCAAATTAGAAATTGCCAAAAGCCAGAATTAATAAATTCATATCTATATTTGCACAATGGAATACTACGGGCAGTAAGAATGAACTAAGACTATGCAGGTTAGGATGAAACTTACAAACAAAATATTGAACAGAAGCCAGCACATAAAATGTACATATTATATGATTTTATTTGAATAAAGTTTAAGATGAAGCAAAACCTATTTTGGTGTAATAAGTCAAGGTAGTGGTTAGTCTGGCTGGAAATATCCTAAACAGAAGGGAACACGAGGAAGCTTCTGAGATTCTGGGCTCCTTGTAATGCCCTGTTTCCCAGTGGAGATGCTGCCTACGTAAGTGTGCTCATTTTGAAATTTTGAAATATTGTGTGGGTGAATGAGTGTGTATCTTTGTACACCCTTCTGTATCACCTTCAAAATAGTTCCAAAAAATTTTTAGAATCATATCACCATATTTGTACAAAGATGACTATTTGAGCCTATGGAGAATGAAAAAGGAAAACTGAATGTAGAGGTTAGGTTGTTTTTATGGTATTTTTACTCACCTTTGTCCTGTAATGCAATTTGTTGCTTATGCAGTAATGCCACCTCCCGTCCCAAAGCTTTCTTCTGTCTTTCCAGTTCATTTCGAAGCACCAAAATTTTTAATTGCAAGCACTCACTTTGTTTTCTCTAAATAATTAAAAAGCACAGGTAAATTTATGACTATGAAAGTCATGACTATGAATAATTATACATTCACAGTGTCTTCAAATTAATAATGATGTAAAACACTTTAATATTCATCTAATTTAAAGATCTCTTGAATAACTTAATTATCTGCACTGGCCATTTTAATAGAAAGAACACAGATGTAAGCAGAGAATAAACCTAAAGTCCGGGGACAGGGGTTTCTAAGAATCCAAAAAGCACTACAAAATATCTCAGGCCTCTTTCCCGAGATCACAATATAATTAAGACAAAAATTCATTTTTAAAAAATGGAGTTCTCAAAAACTTAAACATAGAGATACCACAGGACCCAGCAATTCTACTGCTGGGTACACACCCAAGGGAACTAAAAATATGTCCATACAAAAACCTGAATATGAATTTTCATAACAGCATTATTTATAATAACCAAACGGAGGAATCAATTCAAATGTCCATCATCTGATGAACCAACACAAAATGTGGTACATCCATACAAAGGAATATTACCTTGCAATAAAAGAAATGAAATAGTGATGAATGCTACAATATGGGTGAACCTTGCAAACACTACACTGGGGCGCCTGGGTAACTCAGTCAATTAAGCATCTGTCTTTGGTCATGACCTCAGGGTCCTAGGATCCAGCCCCATTGTCGAGTCCCTGCTTAGCAGGGAGTCTGCTTCCTCCTCTCCCTTGGCTGCTCCCCCTGCTTGTGCTCTCTCTCTCTCTCTCACTCAAATAAATAAATAAAATCTTTTTAAAAAGAAAAGAAAACACTATACTAAGTGAAAGCCAGTTTAAAAAGGCCACAAACTCCATTTATATAGAATCCACAGAAACAAAAAGTAGATTTCCATCCCTGCCAAACTGAACCAAGGTGCTCTAATATCCCACAGATTTCAGAGAAAGTCAACCAGGGACCTGGGGCTTTCACCCCTTCCAGGTGATAACCATCCACAGTATCAGTGGACAGCACAAGCGGAGCCTGATTTACAAAAATAATGAGATAATCCTCTCCCTCCCAGCTGAGTGATAACCAGAGGAGTCTTAGGGGAGAGTGAGAACTTTCCTTACTACACAGTGTTAATGAGGCCAGTCTATTCAGCATGCTATTCAGTGGAGGCCATGTGGGGAACAATATCAAAGTATTCCTACACCTCTTAGCCAGGTCAGTAGCAGTGAAGGCCTAGTGGAGAGTGGGAACTCCCAGTCCTGCTCAAAAGTAAGAATGCCCTCCCCCATACTTCTGCCACTTGGGTGTCAATGGAAGCTACCTGAGGAACCTGAACTTTTATACCCACCTGGCAGTAATGAGATAGCATCTCTCCCTTCCCTATCAGAGAAAGAGGTGTCAGAAAAAGCCAGATCAAAGAGGTTTCAATAAGATCTAGAGACTCATAACATCATATCCAAAATGTACAAGTCTCAATTAAAAATAATTCAAGATACCAAGAACCAGAAAGATGTCAAAGTAAATGAAAAAGGATAATTATGAGATACCAATACTGAGGGGTGCCTAGGTGGCTCAGTCAGTTAAGCATCTGCCTTTAGGTCATGATCCCAGGGTCCTGGGATTGAGCCCCACGTCCTGCTCTCTACTCAGCAGGGAGTCTGCTTCTCCCTCTCCTTCTGCCTCTGCTTGTGCTGTCTCTCTCAAAAAATAAATAAATAAATAAAATCTTTTAAAGAGAGATACCAATACTGAGATGACAGACATGTTACAATTATCTGACAAAGATCTGGGAGCAGCTATCATAAAAGTGCTTCAATAACAATTAAGAACATCCGTGAAACAAATAAAAAAAAAGAACATCTTGATAAAGAAATACAAAGTCTCAGTCAAGAAACTGAAGACATAAAAAAGAATCAAATGGAAATTTTATTTCACTTAGCATAATCCCCTCCAGTTAAAAAAAAAGGAAATTTTATTTTTATTTTATTTTATTTTTAAAATATTTTATTTATTTATTTATTTGAGAGAGAGAAAATGAGAGAGCATGAGCGAGGAGAAGGTCAGAGGGAGAAGCAGACTCCCCGTGGAGCTGGGAGCCTGATGTGGGACTTGATCCCGGGACTCCAGGATCAAGACCCGAGCCAAAGGGAGTCGCCCAACCAAATGAGCCACCCAGGTGCCCCCCAAAAAAGGAAATTTTAGAGCTGAAAATATCTTGAATAAAACACGTAGTGAAGGGGCGCCTGGGTGGCTCAGTGGGTTAAAGCCTCTGCCTTCGGCTCAGGTCATGATCTCAGGGTCCTGGGATCGAGCCCCACATCGGGCTCTCTGCTCAGCGGGAGCCTGCCTCCTCCTCTCTCTCTCTGCCTGCTTCTCTGCCTACTTGTGATCCCTGTCTGTCAAATGAATAAATAAAATCTTAAAAAAAAAAAAAAAAAAAAACGTAGTGAATAAGCTGAACAGCAGTATGTAGGAGACAGAGAAAAGAATCTTTAAGCTAGAAAACAGAGCAACAGAAACCACCAAATCTAAACAAGAGAGAGAAAACAGAGTGTTGTTAAAGAAAAAACAAAACAAAACAAAACAAAACAGTCTCAGGATCTGTGCAACTATATAAAAAGACCTAATATTTGTAACATCCAGTACAGGGAGGAGAAAAGAAATAAAGCAGAAGTGAAAAAGTACTCGCAGAAACGATGATGAAAAACTTCCCAAATTAGGCAAAGAAATATATCTACAAATTCAAGAAGTTAATGAACCCCCAAAGAGAAAAAATAAAATGGAGAAAATCACAAAATAAATAAAATCAAAAGCTGGCTTTTTGAAAAGGCCAATAACTTTGATAAAATTCTAGCCAGGCTAACCAAGAAAAAGAGAAAAGACAAATTAATATTATGAAGAATGAAAGAGGAGCCATCACAACTGATCCCATGGGCACTGAAAGAATAATTAAAGAATACTATAAACAACTCAATGGCCACAAATTTGATAACTTAGATGAAATGGACCAATTCCTTAAAGACAACCTACCAAAACCCATGCTAGGAAAAATAATCTGAAAGGGCTTATATATGAAATAATTAAATTAATAACCAATAGCCTTTTAAAATGTAAAGTACCAGGCCCAGATGGTTTCACTGGTGAATATTACCAAACATATAAGCAAATAACACTAATTCTTTAAACCCTTTCAAAATATAGAAGAACTTCCTAACTCATTCTAGGAGGCCAGCATCACCCTAATACCAAAATCAAACAAAGACATCACTAGAAAGGAAAATTACAGACCAATCTCTCATACACACAGATGCAAATTCATCAATAAAATAGGAGCAAATCAAATCCAACAAGTATAAGAAGAATTATACACCATAGCCAAATGGAATTTATTCCATGTATGCAAGGCAGGTTGAACATTCAGTAATCAGTGAAATTCACCATATAAACCAGGCAAAAAAGAAAAGTCATATAATCATACCAATACATGCCAAAAAAGCATATGACAAAATTCAATACCCATTTATGATAAAAATTCTCAGCAAACTAAGAATAAAGGAAAACTTCCTCAACTTGTAAAGAATATTTGCCAGAAAACCTACAGCCAACAACAACTTATGATGGGGTTATACCCCAATAAACCCATTATAAGTTAAAAATATTGTAAGTTGAGGGGGAGGAGTCAGGATGGCAGAGAAGTAGCAGGCTGAGACTACTTCAGGTAGCAGGAGATCAGAGAGATAGCTTATCTAAAGACTGCAAACACCTACAAATCCAACGGGAGATCGAAGAGAAGAAGAACAGCAATTCTAGAAACAGAAAATCAACCACTTTCTGAAAGGTAGGACTGACGGAGAAGTGAATCCAAAGCGCGGGGGGAGGGGCCGGCTCCCGGCAAGCGGCGGAGCAGCGGAACACAAAATCAGGACTTTTAAAAGTCTGTTCCACTGAGGGACATCACTCCAGAGGCTTAACCGGGGTGAAGCCCACGCGGAGTCAGCATGGCCTCAGGTCCCGCAGGGTCACAGAAGGATCGGGGGTGTCTGAGTGTCGCAGAGCTTACAGGTATTAGAACGGGGAAGCCGGCTACAGAGACAGAGCCGAGGAGGAGTGAGCTCTAAACTCGGGGTTACCTTGAACCGGTCGCAGGCTCGGTCAGCTCGGAGTGCGGCCAGAGGCCAGGGTGATGGGAGTAATTGGGCGCTGTTCTCTGAGGAGTGGGGCTCCGGGCTCTCGGCTCCTCCGGGCCAGAGACCGGGAAGCCGCCATCTTCACTCCTGTCCTCCTGAACTCTACGGAAAGCGCTCAGGGAACAAAAGCTCCTGAAAGCTGACTACTCAGCCCGGCCCCTGGTAAGGGTGGTGCAACTCAGCCGGGGGAAAAGACACTTGAGAATCACTACAACAGGCCGCTCCCCCAGAAGATCAACAAGAAATCCAGCCAGGACCAAGTTCACCTACCAAGGAATACAGTTTCAATACCAAGGAGAGCAGCAGAATTCCAGAGGAGGAGAAAGCAAAGCACGGAGCTCATGGCTTTCTCCCAATGATTCTTTAGCCTTGCAGTTAATTTAATTTTTTTTTCTTTTTCAATTTTTTTTCTCTTCTTCTGCTAAATTTTTTTAACTTTTACCCTTTTCTTTTTTAACGTTTTTTTAACTAGTTTATCTAATATATATATATATTTTTTCCTTTTTATATTTTTTCTTTATTCGTTTTCTTCTTTTGTTTCTTTCTTTTTTTTTTTTTTTCTTTCTGAACCTCTTTTTATCCCGTTTCTCCCCCCTCACGATTTGGAATCTCTTCTGATTTGGCTAAAGCATATTTTCCTGGGGTTGTTGCCACCCTTTTAGTATTTTACTTGTTCCTTCATCTACTCTTATCTGGACAAAATGACAAGGCGGAAAAATTCACCACAAAAAAAAGAACAAGAGGCAGTACCAAAGGCTAGGGACCTAATCAATACAGACATTGGTAATATGTCAGATCTAGAGTTCAGAATGACTATGCTCAAGGTTCTAGCCGGGCTCGA